AAAAATATTATGAAACAAATCTAATAGTTCAAAAGGTAGATTTTTATTTTTAGCAGTCACTTAGCTTTAAAAAAAAACAAAACAATGGAATCTTCTTAATGTTCTCTTTCTGTATGAACCAGAGATCTAGCTATCATTCACTAATGGATTGAACAACAGAATGCAAGAATCAATCAGATTTTTCACTGGATGGCCCAAGTGACTTCATTAAAATACACAGGATCTGGAAGATAACTCCATAAATCCCCACACTTAGGCAGTCAATTGTATATCAATTCAAAAATTTTTATAAAAATGTGAACTATGAATCTATTAAAATGAACTGAAAGTAAGATACACTGAAACTGCATACTTTATTCATTTTTCCTGTAAATGAAATTGTGCAAAAATAGTCTATTAATTTAAAAAAATTAGGAACACAAAAAAATACAGAATGAGAATTACAATCATAATCTCTTTTTTTTTAATCCAATTTGTTCCATCATCCTAGATAGGCAACATCTGTAAAAACTTAAACTAAGCAACAAATATACCACTTGTGGTAAATTAGAAACAATTATTATGTTCACAGAATTGAAAGCTTGTGACTCAATGGGTTAACTCTATGGTGTCACCAACATGAAACTATGCCAACCAGTTTATTATCCTGGGGGGATTTAATCTCCTTTTGGAGCTGCTATTTATGTCACTCATCAGACAACCAAACAGTTTTAGTACATCCTTTAAAAAAAAAAAAAATTTTATTTTTTTTTTTTAGTTTTGGTGGACACAAATCTTTATTTTTTATTTTTATGTGGTGCTGAGGATCAAACCCAGTGTCTTATGCATGCTAGGCAAGCACTCTACCACTGAGTCACAATCCCAGCCCTAGTATATCCTTTATACGATTGTTTTATATTAATTACCGTTCAGACTGCCATGTAATTATGTAGTCATTTGGTTACATATTGTCTCTTCAAATAATATAAACACCTTTAGAGGAAAGGCTGGCATGCAGCACAAAGCCTGTTCTTGTTCTTGTTGTTGTTTTTTACAATTTATAGTTCGTCAAACTCTTAAGTGCTCAGTATTTGCTATTCAGCTGAAAAGCAATCAGATGCCAACTACTTATAAGGCCTCCAGGGGAGGGTATACAAAAGGCTTTCCTCCCTTTGTAAATCATATAATTTGCTTTAAGTGATTGGGTTACCAATTTTTCCTATTTTGGGTTTTCCACTTAAAAATGGACACTTTTGCAGAAGATAGAGAAAGTGGGCGTGAGAATGTAAATACACATAGAAAAGAAAGATGGGTAGGGAATGGGTACTATTACTTTACTTTTCTTCCCCATGGTTACACAATGTTAGAGGTTTTCAGTAACAAAAGGATTTTTCCAAATGGAAGCCTTTAAAGTACAGTAGTACCGCTATATAAAAACTCAAAATTAATTATAACTAAATAATTAATAAAACAAACTCAAATCAAGATGTTTAGCTAATAAGGAGCCAGATGCTAATACTGATCATCAGTTGATAAGTGTTACGTTGCTGGTACCCCCACAAGCTCTCCCACGAATATATCTGCTGGTCAATACTGGAAGTGGCAAGGACTATCAAAGTTTTCTCTATGGAACAATAAATTCTTGTGATCCTGTACCAAGTTTTTGGAGGGTTAAAAGAAGTCATGTCAACAAAATCTCCTTTATCAATTACCAACTTAACTTTCTGGGCATTCTATATCACGGCTTTAAGAGATATGGGTGATCTCTAGAGACTCTGATCCAGAGTTTTAGTTTGGGGAGTTTAATAATGGCTTAACTAAGCTCTACCCCCCTTTGTCAGTTTTAGAAGTTCAAATATCACAGGAAATTGCTTTACAATAGTTGCCACAACATACTCTACAGTATAACTTCCCATCTATTAAAAGTATTAGATATGACTCCATAGTTTAGCCATTATCAAGAAAAACATAGGCCAGCTGGGAAAATTACGCAAACTTCTTAAGTTTTGGAAAATTTTAATGTAGGCACTCTAGTATATATGGAGCAATATAAATAATAAACTAAGAGTAAAACTCACCAAAGGGCTATCAATGTTAATGGATCTGTGACATCTTTTAATAACATTACTATTATGACATTTTCTAAAACTCAAAGCAGAAGAGAACCCAGTTTGGAACTGGATGTGCCACCTGCAGTCTACCCAACTCCCTCTTTTCTGCTTTCATCCATCCTCATCCCTCAACAGAAACTTCACTCCATCTCCAAAGACATCCAGGCACTAGCTATCTTAATCTTCAAATGCTACATACTCTGTTTTCATGCCATTCCCAGCTTTAAGTCATGACAATGTTCTCTCTAACTATTATTATGCTCCTTAAGTACTGAGTTGTTACCTAAATTATTTTTTTCACCTAGACCTGAAAAACTGAGTTGTACATCTGATCTCTTCCCTCTAGTACACAAGTAATTTCAAGCCCCTGGTAGTCACCCTAAAAAAAAAAAAGAGAGAGCCCAAGTTCTGCCCTATTATCTCCATCTGTTCAATAAATATTTGCTGAATAAAAAATGTGTAAAATGCTCTGCATGCCATGCCTTTCTAATGCAGGAAGGTGTTCCTTCTCTCCTATATATACATGTGCTCTATACTCAGGAAGCCCTTTTGTCAACACTGCTTCCTTTCTTAACTAAATCCTCTCCCAATGCTTTGACCTTTAATAACTTCTCTATATTCACCCAACTTCCTCCATTATTGGTATTTTTTTTTACCTGATTTGGATCTCAAAAGTCTGCCTAACAGTGATTTTCTAACTCTCACAAGATAACATGGAAGAAAAGTTGTCTTCAGAAAAGAGTCCAAAGAGTTTCCAGAGAGAAGGGGGAAACTCAACTCAGGACTAGCAGAGGTCTTAGCTATGTAGCACCAGTCAGAACACACATTTATTTTAAAAAGTAAATACACATTAAAGAGAGAACTTGGGCCATCTCAAGAATGAGAGATACATTTTGGGAATCTCCAGCTCTTCTTTTAAAAGAAATTTGCTGAGGGGTAGGTATGAGAAGGATGTAGAGTGATCTCAAGATTGTTATGGTGGTCTGGTCATTTTCAGTATCCTAGGATGACATGGTCTCTATTAGCTGACCAATAGGTAACACAGGAAAGTTTCTTAAAATGTCAAAAGAAAGAGCTGGGACTGCTTGGTCAGTTCTGTTCAACAAGTTGGCCTCTTTAGTTTCATGTGGCTCTTTCACAGGCAAATGGCAATTTTTCTATACTTATATACTTTTCTAGTTTAATTCTCAGACAAAAGGATCATCACTTAGAATGTAAAAGTCTCTTTGGAATGGTTCAAACAAAACCCTTCAGGTGGAGAAATGATCTGGCAGAAAGAATGTAAATGATGGATTTAAGACAGAACTAGACTGAAATCTTGATTCTGCATTTCCTAAAGGTATAATCTCTAAGCTTAAATGTTTTCATTGGCGTGTACAACGGCACACACCTGTAATCCCAGCAGCTTGGGAGGCTGAGATAGGAGGACCACAAGTTCAAAGCCAACCTCAGCAATCCAGTGAGGCCCTCAGCAATTCAGTGAGACCTGTCTCTAAATAAAATATGAAATAGGGTTGGGGAAGTAGCTCAGGAGTCAAGTGCTCCTGAGTTCAATCCCCAGTGCCCCTTTGCAAAATGTCTTCATTTATATAAGTGGGAATGTTACAGGGAAATCATTTTATCCCCTCCCAGCAAAGGTTATGTGAACCCACAATAAGAAAAAAAAGAAGTGGTTTTACTATTTTTACCCTTCCCTTCTCTACTTCCTTTCCTTCAAAGTGTCTAACAACATTCCAACATCCACTAGAAAGACAAATATGAATAACAGTTGTAATTCTCCTTCCCCCAAATGAGTTCATGTAAAATACACACCCAAAATCTCACTGAAAGTTTCCCTCTGTCTTTCCTAAATGCACGGCTTGAATCCATTATTCTGTTTATGCAGTAAGATCTCTTAGAAGTTGGCTATTACAAATACAGCTCAATTCTGTGTGTTAAATTTTAAATATCTATCAAGATGCTCTTTTCTCAATATACAATCCTATTAGGTTACTGCAGAAAACATTAAATTGAATGTGAGTGAATGTGTCAACACACACAAAGTCTTATCAAAATTACCTCCAAAGAAATGTAAATCAAAAACACTCTAAGATTTCATCTTACTCCAGTCAGAATGGCATCTATCAAGAATACAAGCAAGAATAAATGCTGGTGAGGATGTGGGGGAAAAAGGTATATTCAATACATTGCTAGTGGAACTGCAAATTGGTGCAACCATTACGGAAAGCAGTATGAACATTCCTTACAAAACTTGGAATGGAACCACTATTTGACCCAGCTATCCTACTCCTTGATTTATACCTAAAGGATTTAAAATCAGCATACTTCAGTGACACAGCCACATCAATGTTTATAACAGCTCAACTCACAACAGCTAAACTATGGAACTAACCTAGGTGCCTTTCAACAGATGATTGGACAAAGAAAATGAGGTATATGTATATACACAATGGACTATTAGCCAGCCTTTAAGAAGAATAAAATTATGGTATTTGCCAGTAAATGGATGAAACTAGAGGATATTGTGCTAAGTGAAATAAGCCAATCCCCAAAAAACAAAGGCTGAATGTTTTCTCTGATATGTGGATGCTAATTCATAATTAAGGGGGTAGGGGGGTAGGGAAGAAACAGGTACTTTGGAATAGACAGAGGGGAGGAAGCATGTGAGCAAGAAGGATAGTAGAATGAACTAGACATTATTACCCTAAGTGCATATATGATTATATGACCCGTGTGATTCTACATCATGTACAACCAGAAGAATCAATTATACTCCATTTATGTATAATGTGTCAAAATGCTTTCTACTGTCATGTATAACTAATTAGAACCAATTTTTTAAAAATCTCCAAATCTAGGTTTTATCCAATTTATAGTGTCGGAGCATCAAGCAATTTCAATTAAACATACCTCTTGTAGAAGACGTGGATCCACGCAATCACCATCATCGTTAAACATAGATTCCCAGCTCTCTTCAGTAGCAGTATTTCCCTCTATCTGAGAAGTTTCAGTTACATTAAAATCCATGGATGTTTCTATAGATGATTCTCCACCAGGAACTGATACACCAAAGCCTATATTCTCTGAGTCATCCTGCTCTTTTGTTTTTAACTCTTCAGCAGTTCTCAGTTCATGTAATGCCTCTGTTATATCACCAATACTATCCAGATCATTGCCCAAGGCATTCTCTAAAAGTACTTTTGTCCCATTTGACAAACTGAGTTCAGAGTCCAAAAAAATGTTACAATTACTACCAGTAATCTTCTTTATAGGTAAGGAGGAAGCACAATCTGACAAGCTCTCTATCAACTTTCCTGTTGACTCTGTAAAACTAGATGAAATACTCTCAACATAAATATCAGAGCAAGCAGTCAGGCTGCTGAAATTTTCTGAGTCACTCTCACTTTTAGCATGAAAAGGGGATGCATCTGAACTTATATCTATATATTTTGAGAAACTATTCGTATTGCTACAAGTTTCATCAGCTAGTGTAACTCCAACTACACAAGGGCTGCTTACAGTTATATGATCATGTATGGCACCTGTAGTGTCCATCATACAAGACTTACTGGTAATGTCACCTATACTCTTGGATCTATTATCTGTATCTGTTTCATGAGCAAGGACAATTATATCAGAAGGTTCACACTTTACACATAACTCATCAGCAGTGCCTTTATTCTTCTCATACTCTCTAATCACTGCTGGATCCATAATGCCATTTGTGCTCTCTGACTTGCTGGCCATAGTCATTTTATGAGAGATGAGACCCACAGTCTCAGGAATGGAATCTATAGCTTTCTGACACAAGATGAAATTTGTAGCATTGGCTTTATCACCTATATTCTCAACTTCAAAGTCTATACAAGTTTGATCAATGACACCATCTGGACTTCCAGGAACAGTAGGGATGCTTCCATTGCTGAGCTTCAGCATTCCATCTGATGTTTGCAAACCTTCTAGTACAATTTCAGAATCAGAGCTTAGTTTTACTGGTATACTCATATTCTCAGGTTTCAATATAGTTGTGAAAACTCTAGGAAACTGGGATAGTATCTCTACAACTTTGGCATCAGTTTCAATTCCACTTTCTGAATCTCTGCCTTCAAAAGTTTCCCCACTTGATTCAAGTCTACTGAAGTTACATAAGTCTACATTCTGGAATGGTTGTTTTAGAACCTGAGCCTCGGTGATTTCTGAACAAGACTGTGATAGAAGTATCCCTTCATGTCCTGTCACAACTGTAGTTTGAACCTCCAAACACTCCACGCTCTTTGGTTGTCTTTGTAAAGAGGAAGTGGGTATAATCTCTGTATTTGGAACTCTTTGCTGATGTTCTGGGGATAATACTTCACTGGATTCTGTGGCTCCTCTCTTACTACAAACCTTATCTTTTTTCCTTTTTTGAAGGTTTGTATCTTTTCTTTTTGTTGAAGATTTTCTTCCTTCCCTATAACTATGCTCCTTTCTATCAGGATTAATACTTAATTGTTGAGCTCCAGGTTTGTCTCCAAAGATCTCCTTTTGGGACAGACAAACTTCTCTCTGTTCTTCTTTTATCACAGAATTAGAAGGACCACAGCTTTTTTCCTTATCACATGTATTGAGGAGTACTGTACCCCTTCGAGCTTTAGGTACATAAAGTGCCATGTCAGGCCTTTTGGCTCGAACTCTACATCTCTCTGTTTCTTGCTGCATGGTACCAACTTCAATCTGAAAGAAAAGAGAGAGTGATTTAATTACCAAAAACTAATTACAATGTATTGAACTTAGAGATTCTAAAAGATTAGTTAGAGGACCTAGTAATCCATCCTGTAGAAATCCTCAAGTTTAAAAAAATAAAATAAAACCTGCCATAAAATAATTAATGCTATCAGGTGTACCACTAAGGATATTAAAAAAAAAAAACCTCTCATGAGATCATGAATTCTATACAAATACCCTTTTTTTGTATTCAATCTCTGAACCATTGAGCTCTACCTTCCAAATTCTTCTCTACATTTTTAACAAGTAGTTTTGTCTTAAGCTGAATTAAAAAAAGATATATGAATCAGTAATTGCCACCTATCAAATACTCATAAACACAATCATTTTCATATTCTAGGAGCTTAGACTTTTATTTTGAAGAGTATACTCAAGACGCATACCAAAAAGCCATATTTGTCAAATGAATAAAAAATAATTTTAAAGAGTAACTTGAATGTCAGCTATAAGATAAACAACAAACGAGGGAACATTTCCTACAAGAAATGGCTTTTGACCTGTTTTTTTGTTTGTTTTTGTTTTGTTTTGTTTTGGTACTGGGGATTGAATCCAGGGCACTTTACCACTGAGCTACATTCTGGTTCTTTTCATTTTATTTAAGATTTTGAGACAGGGTCTCACTAAATTGTTGAGGCCAGCCTCAAACTTGCAAACTTTCTGCCTCAGCCTCCCAAGTCACTGAGATTAGAGGCTTGTGCTATCATGCCCAATTTGAACTATAATTCTGCAGAAAGAAAAAGACAGCAGAAAAGAGAAAAGCATTCAATTACTCTGACTTGATCATTACATATTGTATATACGTACTGAAATCTTACACCTTCCCTCCAAAATATGTACAATTCCTCTGTGTCAATTAAAAGTAAAAATATGCCAAGGTGGGTGGCATACAACTGTAATCCCAGTCTCTCAGGATGCTGAGGCAGGAAGATGGTGAGTTGGAGGCCAGTCTGGGCATTTTAGCAAAAATTCTATTTCAAAAGGAAAAGAAGAAAAGAAAGGGTTAAGGATGTAGCTCAGTGGTGGAGTATTTTTCTAGCAGATGCAAGGCCCTGGGTTCAATTCCCAGCACTACAAATAAACAAACAAACAAATAAATAAAGGGGGAAAGGTACTATTATTCTATTAAAGGTTAAGCATCTTTAATCCTAAAAAGTTCAAAATGCTCCAAAATTTTAAACCTATTGAGTTTCAGCAACTCGGTTTTGGATTTTGAAGCATTTAGGATTTCAGATTTTTCAGTTAGTGATGGTTAACCAATAAGACAATACAAATATTTAAGAATCCGAAAAGCTCTGAAATCTGAAGCACTTCCAAGTCCCAATATTTCAGATAGAAAAAAAACTTAGCCCATAGCACTATTTAGTCAAGAGATCTACTACAAATCTTTGTTTCCAGCATAATAAAACAGATCCAGGTAAAATGAACAAGGGTGGAGAACAATAAAATTATGAGACAACTCACACTAGTAAAAACTGCCTGGAATTGCTACCATGGCTGATCAAGAGAATTGAACAAGAAATTAAACAGAGGTTAAATAAACTTTATAAATATAAGGAATCATGCCAGGTAATTTCATGTTGAGTTATTCTTTAATCTTCAAAATAATGCTCTGAAGTAGGAAGGTATCAGTTTGTCCAGAGCAGAGAGAAGTACTTTATATTAGCAAAGAAACACCCTATACACACATATGAACCCACTGTTAATATTTCGTAACATATACTTCAAAAGAAAGAGAAGGAAGAGGGATAGAAAGGCTAATGAATCCTGTTCAATATTAGATCCCTAATATTTAACTTGATCATATACATCCCTCAGGTTGTGGTTTGGATTCCCAGTACAAAACACTGACGCACTTCTGGATATAAAACGGTACATTGTAGATTATGTAATAGAACTAGTAAGTGGGCTCACAACTGATTAAATAAATAATGATAATGGGTAAAAATAAATGTGCAGGATGTTATTTAAAGGAGGACCACAGCCCTTGAGAATCAATATTTTACCAATATGGATGTAGACAATACATACTAAATGTTTATAAAATACACAATTGACACAAAACTGATGGGATTCATAAATACCAAAAATGAGAAGATTATAATTCACTCTCATTCCTATAATTTGAAATGCTACACTGAAGGCAGTATGAAGGCAAAACACAACAGACACAATAATCTGTTTTAGGGTTTAAAAAAAAAAAAACAGCACAGAAGAGTTGACTTTGGTACAATTTACACAAAGAAATACTTAAAGACTTCTACTTTGTCCACAAGACCAAGAAAAACCCAAAATTGCGAAGAGAACATTTAAAAAACCAACATGGTCTTTGATTACAGAGTACAAAAATATGATTAAAAGAACTAAATAAAAAACATTACACTTAACTTTATACCTGAAGGATTGGTTGCTCTGTGGAAGAGCCAAAATTTCTCTTCTATATATTTCTATACTTCTATGATTCTCCAGAACTCAGTGCCAGAACCCACTGGAATAAATTAAAGGAAAACAAAAGGTTAATTCAATATAAGAAAATACTCTACTTCTAAAGTTCTTCAATGCTATTATCAGATAATGAGTTGTTTTTAGAAGAACTTAAATAAAGCATAAATGAATGATCAAACATAAGACAAAGAATTTCTATTTATAATTATAGACAAGTGCTCTAGATAAATTTTAAGCATTCATCAAACCCTAAATTCTTTCATTCTATTTCAAATCTGCAACAAACCTACCAAAGGCTTCAAATTATATATTTTAAAATTATTATGATGTGCTATGACTAATGGCTTTCAAAACTCAAAACTTTTTTTCTTAATGCTCATAAAGCTGAACAGCCGTATAATAAATTCAATATTGTCTATTTTCTACCAAAACACTGATTTCAACTGTTCCAGGACCAGCAGTGTGTTGGTAAATTATCAACTAACTCACCCAGGGTATTTTGGAGTACTGGCTGCTATTTTTATCTATGTCAATTATGTCAACAATGTGACTTCTTTGTTAAGATGCACAATTTTTTCTGAATAATGGAAGAATATATCCTCAGATTTTTGAGCTCTTCACAATATAGTAAAGACATGATACATTTATATTAGTAGCATTTTCTCCTTCACTTTAAGTCTAGACAATCAATGAATAATAAATCAAGCCCTGATTTATGGTGTTTGCCATTGTCTGCACTGTAAATATTCTTAATGTGGCTTACTTTCAAGCTACTGATATGACATCATTGAACATGGAGTTGGGAAAAGATGTATAAAATCACACTATTATACAGGATTATCAACCACAACGATACAAGATACATAATAACTTCAAGAGCACAGATCAAAATAATATGCAGAAGTAATGAGTTTTAGGTATTTATTCCCTTAAAAATAAAATGTTTAATTGTAAGCCTATGTAGTTTAATTTTTAATAATGGCTGTGTTTAACAATCTGTACAAATTTCCTAAAATTTTAACTATCAGCTCTCAGGCCAGTAGGAGATACTCCAATATACCTAGATGTGACCATTTTTTTCATAACTTACAGACACAAAAAAAGGAGAAGTATCACCATCTTGTGGACTTTCAAGATATTGTCAATTTATTACAGCTTTGTTGAATTTTTATAAATTTCTTTTGCAAGAAATTTTGTTGAAATTTTTATGACGCATTCTCCCTCTTTCCACCAAAGCCATTTTTTTTTCTTCTGAACATTCTTAATGGCAAAGTATAGATATCGTGGGCCTTTGCCCTACATACTTCACAGTGTATTTGTTATAAATAGGAATATTCTCTTTTATAACCATGATACAGTTATCAAGGTCAACAAATTTAACATTGAAAGTTCTAATAAAAAACAGATGTAATACAATGTTACTGCATCAAATATAAGTATATCTTCTATTGCATATTTCCCTCTCCAATACAGAATACAGTTTAGGGTTAGGTGCTACACTAATTTTCAAGCCTCTAGCCTCCTATACTCTGGGAACATTTCCATAGCCTGTTAGGACACTGACATTTTGGAATAATAGCTCCCCTATCCACCCTTTTTGAAAACATTATTCACTTAAGGTTTGTCTTATGTCCCATGATAAACCCGAGATTATATATACTCAACTAAAACACTAAAAAGGTGGTGATGTGTACTCAGGGAATCACATCTGGAGACACATGATTTCCATCTGTCCTTCAATGATGCTCTTAACTTTTATCATCCAGTCACAGTGTTGTCCAATTTCTTAAATTAGTGTGCATTTTCTTCCTTGTAAGAAAACAAGCAGTCTGTGGGGTGGCACTTCAAAAGCAAGCAAATATCCTGTTTTTTCATAAAAATATCTCCCTACAGTTAGCACTCCATATGCTAAATCTGATGATTTTTATCTAATCCAATCTTTATTATGATGGTTGCAAAATAATGATTTTTCCAAATCCAGCAGTCCCTCTATATTTACCAATCAGTCCTAGGCCTTATTCTGAAAACAAAAGTAAACCATAAGGGCTGGAGTTGTAGAATGCTTGCCTAGCACATGTGAGGCAATGGGTTTGAACCTCAGCACCACATAAAAATAAACAAACAAAATAAAGGCATTGTGCCCATCTACAACTAAAATAAATAAATTTAAAAAATTTTACTCATGGGATTCCAAGATGGCCGCGAATATAGTGCATCACACCCCGTGTACCGCGACACTGCGCAGGTGAATAACGAGTTAGAATGACAAAAAGCTATCTTTTCAGAAATTTACAGCAAAATCGGGGTGCACCGAAACCTAGAGGAAGGATTTCCATCACCGAGGACCGGTTATTGAGTCTCAAACGCGAGCCAACTGTGCGACCGGAGATCCAGGCTGACTGATCCACCACTCGCCACGCAGCCCGCCCCACGGCTACAGATGGCGGGGCGCCGCAGAGAAGCGACCAGCAAGCAGAGAGAAACGGTGCTCCGGATTCTGTGTAGTCCTGCCGGCTGTGCCCTCACGGAGCTCCGGGCTGAGTTCGGGGTTTGAGACGGGAAGGAAGCGGTCCAGTTCTATCCCCCACAACGGAAAGTCCAACAAGGAAGCCAGCGGCCACCATCTTGGAGAGCTGACGTCACCACCACCAGTTTCCGAAAGATTGCAACAATAAAACAGGTGTGTGTTACTCAGCCCATCTCCCATACAGCGGGGAATTCGCATAAAATCTCTCCCAGGCTTTCTGAAGGAGGGATTATCAGAATGAGCCTGCATAGAGACGCGGGGAAAGGTAGAGACACCTGACCTCCAAATCCCCCTCCCATCAGCGGTGAAAACGAAAACTGTCTTGCCAGGTCTGGGGGAGGGGCAAGCGGAAAAAATCAAAACAATAGGGTGCCAATTCCCAATAGCCACCCTCCACATCTAGCAAACCGCAGGCCCAGAGTACAGTTTGAACTTTACTGCAGAGAGGCATCACACAGGGGAAGGCCGGGCTAGCAGGAGAAGCCAGGGGACTAGAGGCCAGGCCCTCGCAACTGGGCAGCTAGAGACCGCCCGCCCGCCGGCGACCGGCAGCTAGACCCCGAGGTGCGGCCCAGCAGGTACGGCGCAGAGACTCTAGGAAGAGGTCTATAGCCAGGCCTTCATGAAGTAGACAACCAGGAGCTGAAACCAACCAGAGACAGACCAGTCCCACCCCTCCCTTCGGACACCCCGGCAAGGAGCCTGGGGCCCTCCATAGCAGAGAGGTGACATCACTGGAAATCAATGATAAAAGAAGGAAGGAAAAATCCTGCATCACCTGGAAAATGAACAATATGTTACTGAATGATCAATGGGTTACAGAAGACATAAAGGAGGAAATAAAAAAATTCTTAGAGATAAATGACAATACAGACACAACATACCGGAATCTATGGGACACAATGAAAGCAGTTTTAAGAGGGAAATTCATTTCCTGGAGTTCTTTCCTCCAAAAAAGAAAAAAAACAACAAATAAATGAACTCACACTACACTTCAAAACCCTAGAAAAGGAAGAGCAAAACAACAGCAAATGTAGTAGAAGACAAGAAATAATTAAAATCAGAGCAGAAATCAACAAAACTGAAACAAAAAACCACTGAAAAAAATTGATAAAACTAAAAGTTGGTTCTTTGAAAAAATAAATAAGATCGACAGGCCCTTAGCCATGCTAACGAAGAGAAGAAGAGAGAGAACTCAAATTACTAACATACGGGATGAAAAAGGCAATATCACAACAGACACCACAGAAATACAGAAGATAATTAGAAAGTATTTTGAAACCCTATATTCCAATAAAATAGAAGACAGTGAAGATATCGATAAATTTCTTAAGTCATACAATCTGCCCTGATTGAGTCAGGAAGACACACACAATTTAAACAGACCAATAATAAAGGAAGAAATAGAAGAAGCCATCAAAAGACTACCAACCAAGAAAAGCCCAGGACCAGATGGGTATACAGCGGAGTTTTACAAAACCTTCAAAGAAGAATTAATACCAATACTTTTCAAGCTATTTCAAGAAATAGAAAAAGAAGGAGCTCTTCCAAATTCATTCTATGGGGCCAACATCACCCTGATCCTGAAACCAGACAAAGACACTTCAAAGAAAGAAAAGTACAGACCAATATCTCTAATGAACTTGGATGCAAAAATTCTCCATAAAATCCTGGCGAATAGAATACAAAAGCATATCAAAAAAATTGTGCACCATGATTAAGTAGGATTCATCCCTGGGATGCAAGGTTGGTTCAATATACGGAAATCAATAAATGCTATTCACCACATCAACAGACTTAAAGATAAAAAACATATGATCATCTCAATAGATGCAGAAAAAGCATTCTACAAAGTACAGCATCCCTTTATGTTCAAAACACTAGAAAAACTAGGGATAACAGGAACTTACCTCAACATTGTAAAAGCTATATATGCTAAACCTCAGGCTAGCATCATCCTAAATGGAGAAAAACTGAAGGCATTCCCTCTAAAATCTAGAACAGGACAGGGATGCCCTCTCTCACCACTTCTATTCAATTTAGTTCTTGAAATACTAGCCAGAGCAATTAGACAGACAAAAGAAATTAAAGGCATAAAAATAGGAAAAGAAGAACTTAAATTATCACTATTTGCGGATGATATGATAATATATCTAACAGTCCCAAAAGGGTCTACAAAGAAACTGCTTGAGTTAATAAATGAATTCAGCAAAGTGGCAGGATATAAAATCAACACGCATAAATCAAAGGCATTCCTGTATATCAGCAACAAAACTTCTGAAATGGAAATGAGGAAAACCACTCCATTCACAATATCCTCAAAGAAAATAAGATACTTGGGAATCAACCTAACAAAAGAGGTGAAAGATTTATACAATGAAAACTACAGAACCCTAAAGAGAGAGATAGAAGAAGATCTTAGAAGATGGAAAAATGTACCCTGTTCATGGATAGGCAGAACTAACATCATCAAAATGGCGATATTACCCAAAGTTCTCTACAGGTTTAATGCGATG